CAGTCTTTTAAACTTTCTTTTTGATGAAACCTGGAAGTTTCACAGTGCTTTAAAAATAGTATCTGCTAAAATAGGCAGATTGCTTCCTTGTGCCACTTCTGGAGCGCAGGCAGCCAACGCAGAGGTCCCAAGTCTCATGAAGCGTGTGATTATTCACTGCTGAAGTAAGCAAGGTCCAGAAAACAATGACATGATGTGATCCCGAAAGATGGAATTTGCTCGTTGCGATGCATAAGCTGTTAGTCATCTAAGATGCTGTAAAGCTGCTTTCAAGAAAACATTCCTTGGTGGTGGTCTTTTTGCTGAGTCTTGGAAGTGTGCAGGGTTTTGCTGTACTAAATTCCAAAACAATATTTGAAGGGCAGCTTGGGAAATACTCTTCTTGCAAAAGCTAGTGATTATCAGCCTGAGCAGGGCAAGGAAGAAGCCCCAGAAAGGGGCAAATGCGTGCATTGTGTTCAGTAGTGAAGGCTTGCTGCCTTCCTCTTCCACCGTGCGCAGCTGGACTGGGGAGAGCAGTGTTTGACTGGGACTCTGCAGACTTGGCCCTGGGGTGGTGTGGTGTGTAACCACAGGCGTGTTACTTCCCAAGCTTTTGGATGTCTCCGTTGTCTCACTTTCTCTGATTTCGGAAAGCCTTAGTGGCAACGACCATCTCTAACTCAGTGTTTACAGCATAACCCAGCCTTGATCCGTTGTTTTGGACACTGTGGATGACTCCCTAGTAAAATGAAGAATTTGTGTTTACACCAACTGTTGTAGGCCAAGAGGGATGGAGGAAATTGTGAGACTTTAAGAAGACAAAAAAAAAAGCAAAAAGGAAAAAAAAATTCTTTAGTTTAATACCTTAAAATACAGCCATCAAAGGCAAAAAGTTAATTGAAATTGGCCGTATTTACTGATGTCTAAACTCACTAGGTGTTATGAATGTGAAAGAGACAAATTTAAAATTATGTAGGGAATTGGGAAATATTTTTAACTTTCAAGGTTGATTTAAGCTGTATAAATATGTCTCAATTTCATATGCTGCATTTGGTAACTATTACTGTCATAAGTTCCAGTGGAGCAAATTTGAGCATTTACCATTTTTAAAATGTCAGTGCTTTTCATTCATATTTACTCGGGGAAGCTTTTCTTTCCAGCAGCGTTTATTTCAGACTGGGTAGAGGGGCAAGGGAATTACCTACTTTTTTGAATCAATTCATGCCAAGCTGAGGTGAGATTGAGATGAAAAAAAGGTTAATTTCCTCCTTTTGATTTAGAACTAAAAATGTTGGGAAATGACTGAGAAGTGCCAGTTCTGAAAATTTAAAGGGCATAGGACCAAATTTTAAACACACGCTTAGTGGGATTTTCAGAAATGACAGACTAGGAAGATCTTATATACTGTATTTTTTTTTAGTATTTCTAAGCGCAAAACATTTTTCAGTAGTGCACTTTGGTTTCCTACGCATGCAGCACACTTACGGTAGTTATATTTAGCTAGTGAAAATGTACACAAGCTGCATCCTACAGTATATTATGGATCACAATTCCCATCCAGTTGTAGCATGGAACTATTTCAAGCAGAAGGATAATTAGAGATGTCTCATTTGCCACTTGCCGCATAAAGCCAGTATTTTTAGTGTGTGTTAAACAGGGTAGTCTCTTAAAAAGAAATAGGTGGTATGTCTGTCTTGCTCAGCAGCTGAGCAGAACTAACCTTTAGTTTTATGGAAAGCAGCAAAAAGTCAGAGTGCCAATCAGTATTAAACTTTTGATATAAATCTCTTGTGAAGCTTTGTTTGGTGGTGATGGAAGCAGACATAATGTCTGCTTGCGCTCCCCATGCAACTTCTGTTGCAGTAACAGGAGTTCAGTTGCTGCTCTTGCCTTTACCATGATGCCCGGTCCCGTAGCGCACCCGAAGGGAAGGCCAGACCGAGACACCCAGTGGTGGCTACTGCCAAACTTCTGGGATGAAGCAAATTGCATCGTTATGGTGAGAGTGTTGTCAGCATTATTTGTGTTCATGAGACAGGGGTGGATGGATGATCTCACTACAGAGTAAGGATGTTCAGGTCCTCAAACTGCCAGCTGGTCCAAAACAGCTGGTTGGCACTGAAAGTGCAGGTGCTCATGTTGCGCATATGGGAGGGGTCAGCTAGGTGTGTTACGAACACTGAGATCTTCCTCCTTCTCTGTTGTTGGCCATAAATGCTCTTCTGCTCTTTGTCTGTAGTCCAGTGATCATATAGCACATCCCAATCTGGTTGGGTTTCTTCTGGGAAGATGTGACTTTTAGGCTAGGATTTTTGGTGGGTGAACACAGCTTTAATGCTTGGGCTGTAATAATTCTTGATTGTTGATTACAGTCTGATGTTAGCACAGCTGTCCCCCTGTGCCTCTGCCTCCTGGGACGCACCCAGCTGTCTTGCAGGTTATGTCAGCTGGACCGAAGCACAAAATACAAATCTCATGCAAGTGGGTCATCTTTTGGTAAATCTCTTTCTCATCCGTTGGTTGGTTTGCAAATGGTACAAGCCTGTTACTGCTGCCTTTCAATTCCGCTGGGACGTCCAAGCCTGATAATGACCAAGTTTGAGGAGTGAGGAAAGAGGGGAGGTTGTCGTTATGTGAGCTCCCCCATTGTCATAACTGAGCTGTGCAGAGCACTCATAATGCTGACCAAGGGGCAACACAATTGCATGTACATAGACCTGCATTTTTCAACACAGGCTAAAAATGATGTGCCCAGATGAAGAATTACCATCTGAGTGCAGTTCTCATCGTTAGAAGAAGAGTAATGTAGGGAGAGGCTCCAGTTAATAAAATGTCACTTTGCTCCGTCACCTAAATATGAGTTGCTGTGTCGACTGGGTGTTTGCATGGAATTGAGGTTTCCAGGAATGAACTGTTTATTTCTGGTGCCACATTTATTTAAGTTGTTTCAGACTCGTTGTGTTTAACAGGCAACTTGTAGACAGGAAGAAAGATGTCTGGGTTAAAATAACCGCTCAACAGCACGTCTGTGTGGGTGAAATCCTGCCAGTTGCTCCAGAGCTCTGGGACACCAGGAAGGACGTTGGGACAATACATATGAAAGACATTAAGGCAAGAGTGTGAGCAGTCAGCAAAATTGGGAACAAACAGCCAGCCGTACGAGCTGTGGATTGCAGTCTTCAAGCACAGATACTGTGCTGGGCTGGGGCTGGACAGGACATGGCAAGAAGGGTCACTGATAGACAGATACATGGGCAGAAAAGGGTGAACTCCTGCTTCAGTTTTTCCTGGGGGATCAGTGGAGTGAAAGATGAGCAAATCCCTAAAGCAAGCCAAATTATCATTAATAATTCAAACTATGACACTTCTGTGACTGTTCTCTGAGTAGTTGGTGTTAGTGGAACTGACTGTTGAGGCAGCGACATTACAGTGCACGGTCAACAAAATGGCCCATAATATAAAGAAAAATCCCAACAGTCTTTCTTCACTTAAAATACCGTAGTAGCAAAGTTTAGCAAGTGGCCTGAGCTCCTGTTGCAGACTGACAATGGTTTTTATGTGTATAGGAAGTCAAACATAATGAGGAGACTACATTAGCGCTTCTGGCTGGAAAGCGGCCAGAGAGTGTGTTGAGAATTCACTGCGGGGTATTAAGTGGTCTATGCCACTGCTGTGTGCCTCTCCCAGATCATGTTGAGTTCTGGGGGGACGGTAAAATACCAGATTTTGGTCCTCAAAAGCTTACTTGCCTCTGGGGTGCTGAAAGAGCCCTTTAAAGCCTGAACGTGGGATGATCCAGTGAGCATCCGTGTGTTCACTGAGTAAGTACAGCTCTTCCCAAAGCAGAGGCAGAGAGCACAAGTAGTGAAAGAATGGTATCTAGAGGACCCTGCCCTGTTCAGTTGCTCAGTAGGACCACATTAGGAACCCATTTCAGTGAAGATCTTCCTCCAAACACAGACCTCATCAGCTGCAAATAATGCTCAGTGCAGCGGTGGGGAATAGAAAAGTGTTAAGCGATCAGCAGCGTTCTGTATCCAGCTGGTGCCTTCCATGCATACCCTTTCCATAGCACTGTCTATTCATGTATTTGCCAAGCATCATCCATGCCTTCATCTTCATCCCTTACTGGCTGGCCCTGGCAGCTGAAGCCCTTTTTTAACAGCTCAGGTCCTCATCACGTTAAAATATTTAGCACGATGGGTTGCTGTGCGTGACCTACGCTGTTAATGATTTAAGTTTTCCTTCAGAGCAAACCGGTCCAAGTCTGTCTGCCCTGAGAGCCATATTCACCGATGTGTCAATTCGTAACTTCGGACCTGGGACCATTCTGTAAATGCCCTGAATTGGTGACTGAATGTTTAACACTAATGGTTTCTTCCCCTCTGCAGGGGTTGAACACTAAAGGACCTCACCTGGAGACTGTAGGGAACTGCACAAGTGCTGAGAATCACCACTTCTGCTCCAGTGCACCGCAGGGTGGATGCAGATAGCCCCTGGTTGACCAAGGGCTCATTGAGCATCTGGGGTTTCCATTCCTTGCAGTCATACCTTGAAGGGGGGAAATCTGCAAGGTGTGCTTGACAGAAAATGTGTATTCTCAGGCTGAAGTAACATGCACTGCTTAGGAACTCTCTTCTTTGGCATACCATCCAGTGAGGCTACAACACCTTGGTTTTCCTTCCCAGCTTCAGTTTGAGGAAGCTGCGTGGTGAATCTGGGAATTTGCATGTGGGGCCCCAAAAAAAGCATTTGTAAAGGTTTTCTTGCCCCCTTAGCTTTTCTTCTGCTGGCCCTCCCCACTTAACTGTATCCATTACTGTAGCATAAGGGTGTATGTTAAAATCTCTGGACATTTCAGAATGGGAAGGAAAGACGCAGATTCCTAGCCACAAGAAACTTCGCAAGACACTAAGAGAGAAAATTCACAGCTGGACATGTCCTAGGTTGTGGTAAATGGAGACCCCTATCCTGCCACAGTTAAATCTGGAAGTGTGGAGTAAGGATAAGGATCGGTGCGCAGACAGGCAGAGCCGTGTAGCATGCAGTGAGGTCTCTGCCAACCTCGATATTTAAATCTCTTTCTTTTTTGCAGAAACCGCAAGTCCCCTGATTTCAAATCCTTTCCCGCTTTTACAAAGTAAGTGTGATGGATGTCTGTGGTGCGCAAAGGCAGGGACTCCCACCCTGCAGCCGTGCTGGCCTGCCCTCTTAGCATTTTTCATGAATAAATGTTTTTTTTTATTATGAGTCCAGATGTCAAAAACAAAATGCCTCACTTCTGTGGCTCTGGTTTCAGATTTAAATGCAACAGCAATCCTTCAGGGTGTTTCTGTGCAGTGTGTGCTGCTAGATCATTTCGACTGACTTACAGCCTTCTGGGAGTTAAGTTTTGTGAAATGTGCCGATAATGTGTTCTGAGAGACCAAGGTTTGAAGACTGAAAATGAATCCATGTTTAAGTTACATTTATGCGCAGGAAAACTTGTTTTCGTGGCTCAGCTCACTACACACCTTTGCAGGGTCGATTCCCTTTGGCCTGAGAGCACAGATGAGCCATGGGAGCCTGGGACATGGTGGTGAGCCAGCAGGAGGGAGCGAGAGCAGGTTTGGGATGGGCGGACGCAGGTGGTCTCTGCTCAGAACTCTGTCCTTGGAGATCTTCCTTTGCCTTGCAGAGTGTTTGGTGACTGCTTGGCTTGCGTCTGGGTTTCAGGGGTGATACTGTCTGCACCAAACTCCAGGACTGCTGTCCCTTAGTGTAGGACAGCCCTGAGTGCTGCACCCTGAGCATCGCCGCGGTGGCGGAGGACTCTCGTTCTTTCTCCACTTACAAATCTGAGGAAGAAGTGAGAGCTTTATTCAGAACATGAGAGTTCACGTTGGAAGAGAAATCAAATTAGTGCCAACAAATTTGACAACTGTGATGTGTTCAGGACTCCCCTTGTTAAAGCATGCTTCGTAGCACCTTCTTATGTAGCACCTCTTTTGTTGTCTGAGATGGGTGGAAGTGGCAAAAGTTCTGCTTTCAGGAAACTTCCACTCATTTTGGTACGTGATGGTGTTTTTCTAGGAGACTGCTGCTGATTCTAATGCAGTGTTTCATCAGTTTGTGTCAAAGGTACGGGAAGATGCAGTTACACTATTAATAAAACTAAAGCCAGTGGAAACAGTGGGCGAAAACACCAAGAAGTTTCCCTTACAGTTCTTCTGCATTTGTTTTTCATCAGAATGTGGACCGAAGTGTTGAAATGTGGGTCTTTTCTGTGGAGGAGAGAGCTGCCCGGGGGCTGCTGCCTGTGCGGCTGTCGGTTGCTGAGCTGGCTGCCGGCTTTCCCTCGCGCACCACCGGCTCGGGGTGTTTTCTGTTGAAACTTTCTGTTAAAAGCTCTCAACTCATGTTCGCTCCTGGCCTCAAACCAGGCTCTGCTATTTTCTCTGGCTTAGATGTGGCAGTGAGACTTTAACATGGGAATTAGAGTGATTTATTTAACCTAAGCACAAATGCTGGTTTTTCTCTGTCTTGGCTTACACAGCCTGCTGCCGTACTCTGGAGCCTTGTTCACTGCGTATATATAAAGCACTAATAAAAGTGTCTAATAATAGCCCTGGGGAAAGATGTTTTAAATTGTGTAACCAACTGTGAGCGTTAGTTCTGTGTGGCTCAGGAGAACTGCTGAAGGACTTCAGCAGCTGCTGGTGCTTTAGGTTTCTGTAAAGGTGTTTTCAGAGAGTACTGGGCAACGGTAAGGGTGAGGTGGTAGCCTGTCTCGTTCAGAGCAGAGAGGACCTGGCTCGCAAAGGAGGTCGGTTTTGGGGGGAAGGATACTTTTGGGGAGAAGGACTGCATTGTGCTCAGCACCCAGCACCCAGCACCCCACAGACTAATGTCTCTTCTTTTTGGGGAGGAAAGCTCTCTGGTGCGTGATACCATTGCCTGGGGATGCTGCAATGCTTGAGGTTCCGACTTGCAAGAGGCTTTAGGAGTTCCCTGGGGTGGGTGTTTGCAGTTCCAATGGCACTTCTTGCTTGGAGTTGATTTTCTCATGCTCTCCACCACACAACCCCTCTACGTTGAGGGAAAATGAGAGTCAGACTCTGCTGAGATCAGCTGGCTGTAGAGTCGCCCTTTTCTGCCAGCAGACAGGACACGTTCAGAGTGATTTCTTCCTCCTTCCAAATTTTCAAATATTTTGCTTCAGAATTGCTATTCAGAGTCCGGATCCTGGCTCAGCGCAGTGGGATCCTCAAGTTGCTGTCGAGAGGGTAGCACTGCCGCTGCAGAGATGGTCATCTTACCGTGCTGGGGTCTGCTCCTCTGCCGGGCGGGGGTGGAAGGAACGGGTAGCGCAGCGACAACACAGCTCAGGAGAAAAACCCGTTGAGTCTGTGCCATGAGCTCTGAGTGGAAGGGGACAGGCATTGAGGAAGGAGAGACTGGAGGAGGAAGGAGGAATTGGAGGAGAAAGGAGATGGGAGAAGATGGTGGGTGGACAGGTAGCGGGGGAGCAGCGTAGGGGCTGTGCTGGGAGTTGCCTGTCATACAGTCAGTGTTGTACCCTCTCCCCTTCTCCAGCACCGTGTGGACAGGTCTGGCCCACGCAACATTTGCTGTTTCATGCACAGACTTTCTGCTGCCAAATTTAGGCTACAGGATTGGAGAAGGCTTCTGAACATATAGCAACAACACAGAGCCAGGGAGACAGTGGGACTAATGCAGCAGCCTGAACTCCCTGGAGGGTCCAGTTCATGATTTCTTATCCTTTTGTGAATGCTTGGAGCCTCTTTCCATCCTTTCTGCAACAAAGCCTCTGGCGTGCAGCTCAGCCCTGTGGCAGAACAAGGAGGACAGGAGGTCCCAGAGCCTTGCATTGCAGGGCTCCCTGCGCAGCAGCACGTGTCAGGGTCAGGCAGAGCCGTTTCCCTGTCGCTGCACGGGCTCTCAGCTTCTCCTGCTGCTGCCGGAAAGTGCCTCCTAGCTGTGGCTGAATGTGAACCCATGGGAGAGCTCAAGATGTATCCCAAGGCCTGCAGAAAATGCAGCATCTCTGACTGCTGCCCCAGCGTCATGGCTCTGGTCTCGGCTATGTGAAAAGCTTCCTTTCTGGAGGTGGGTAGAGGAACGATAGCAGCCTGGCGTTTTACCTTCTGAGACGTTTAGCAAAGTGTGAATGCAGGGCTGCAGGTTCAGAGTTGAACGCTGAAGGATTTTAATGGCTTATTTGTTAATGTGAAGTTTTTGTCGGATGCACTGACCACAGTCTGCTACATGTGAACCATGGGACCTTGTGCCTCGGTCACAGCCTGGACAACACAGCAAGAGCAAGCAAAGCTCGGGATTTCAGCCTGTAAAAGGGCAGTACTCTGAAGGCAGCCTGGGTGAGCTCTCTGCCGGTCTCCTCCCACCTTTTGTGGCTGCATAAGACGAGTTTTGAGCTGTTTTCACACCCTCCCTTCCCATCATCCAGCTGCTTTAGGCTGAGCAGTGGTTACTAGGAATGAGTTGTGGAAATAAGGGGAGGAAGGGAAAGCTTCTGACGCAGCCTGGTGAATTTATCCTCCACTGCTTTGAGACACAAGCGTGAAGGAGGATTGTGTGAGTGCGGCAGCTCTGCATGCTCTCTGGGAATTGGTCGGGTCTTTGGATGGTGGAGCCCACGTCCTGCACCAGCCCAGGAGGGCTGAGGGCTCTGGGAGCTGTGGTTACAGGTGTGAACTGGAGTCCCAACCCGCAGCCTGCGCAAGCCAAGTACACCGCAAGAGACAAGCTGGCACCAGCACGTTTAGCATTGGCCCAGGGGAACGCAAATAGAGGAGGTTGGAGAAAGCAGAGCAGCCTCCTGCCCAGCCCGTGCCAAGGGAGCAGAGCTGGAAAGTTCGCGGCACCTGGCATGGGTAAGAAGCCCACAGGCCCAAGTGAGAGCCAGGAGCCTGTCTGGGCACGTGGGGTGAATGGCTGTTTTTTTCTCATTGAAAGAGGCTACTGTTGCTCCTGCCACAACTCCCACTCCCCCTCTCCCTCAGATGTGGAGCAGCAAAAGGAATTGGTTCCTGAGAAGGAAGTAAGGGTTTGAGAAGGTGAGGGAGAAGGTTTCCAGCAGCGCGAGACAGACTGTCCAGGCAGTCCCGCTGCAGGTCGGAAGCCTCTGAGCCGTTTCTGAGCTGACTGCACAGCCGCTCCTCCTGCGTTGCTCGTACACATAAGGCCTATCTTTGCCACTCAAAACAAGTGGGGCTGTTGGGGAGCACACCCCCCCTGCCACAACTCCCACTCCCCATCTCCCTCAGATGTGGAGCAGCAAAAGGAATTGGTTCCTGAGAAGGAAGTAAGGGTTTGAGAAGGTGAGGGAGAAGGTTTCCAGCAGCGCGAGACAGACTGTCCAGGCAGTCCCGCTGCAGGTCGGAAGCCTCTGAGCCGTTTCTGAGCTGACTGCACAGCCGCTCCTCCTGCGTTGCTCGTACACATAAGGCCTATCTTTGCCACTCAAAACAAGTGGGGCTGTTGGGGAGCACAGATGTTCTCAGGGGGTTGGTGTGGACAGCACAAATGGGTCCCAGCTTTTCTTGTACCGCCACCAGCAAAGCTAAGAGGGAAAGGAGAGGTTCGTTGATTGGAGCAGAGAAGTTTTGTCAACTTTTCCAGTTAACTATACCTTTAAGTTGCAAGGAGAAATCAAAGGGAGCAGGGATTTACTCACCGTGTGTACCAGCCCAGATGAGCAATCCCTTTCCGGCGGTGGCTTTTGCCTGGTTTCAGGTACAGATTGCCTCTTTCTCCTCTCCACTTTCCAGACCCCTCTTCTAGAACTGACACATCCCACCCTCCTTCCAGCCAGCATGACTGTTCCCAGCTCTGCGCTGTGGAGCACAAGGGGCTTAGAAGCTGAAATCTCAGAAGTATGAGGGTTGAGAAAGCCCTGGGAAGTAAAGTGAGTTCATTCATTCCCACAGGGATTCTGCACATCCTCCCAAGCATCCTTTCCTTCCTCCCCGGGAAAGATTTTTGAATTGTTGGATGAATTTAAATTTTATCCCTAGTTTTAGCTTGTGTACTTTAACTTTTAACTTAACATTTGTAGCAAACTGTAGACTTCTGTGGCTCTTTGTCTCAAAAACCTTTAGAAAATGTTTCGTCGTTTTCAGAATGTGAAATTATTTTTTGAAAATAGACAGTGGTTTTGTTTCCAGAGGTGGACATTTCTGTAGTAGAACAGAAGCGAGGCTTTTGGAAATGGGATGAAAATCAACAGGATATTTTCTGAGAAGAATCACAGATGAGAGATCTTTCAAAATCCCTAAGTGCACTGAGTATACAGTATGTTCCAGGGGCAGAGGGAGGAGCTTGAGGTGAAGAACTCTGGAGACCTTGATGGTCACTGCATGACGGATGGAGATGGGAAGAACCCAGAAAAGACTGGTCAGCAGTGAAGGGGAGTCAGGCAAGGGGAGAGCTAGACGAAAGGCAGCACAGGCTTATGGTGATAAAATAGGTGAGAATGTAACAGGAGGAAGGTGAAGCAGCTCAGTGAGACAAAATGAGCTGAGAAGGAAATAAGAGGATGTAGTGAAACAAGAGAAAAAAATGAATGTGAGAAATGTGCTGCTTGGAGACCGCTGGCTGTGTGTGAGCCATGTGCTTCCCAGTGAGGCGCCCTGTAACTGGGCTTAGGGGAAGGGTGGTTCTGGTGGCTACTTGGAAACCTGCTTCGAGGGGAACTGTGGAGTTTGTGTACTTGTCTGGGAGCAGAGGAGAGTCCTCGAACTGCAGCAGTGAAGGATGGATTGCTCCACCACCGCTTTCTCTGGCCAAGGTCACTACAGGCAGAGATGGCAGAAGGGAATGCATGTGCATGTTTACGTTTAAATGGCATGCGGAGACCTGAAAGTGGCCCAGGGGACCGCAGGGTGACATCTCTAGATTTCAGGCTTTCTGAAGCGCAAATGTACAGCGTGTTCTGTTCTCCCAACTCTGGTGTAGGGGAAGGGGCTCCAGCAAAGCAATGGGGCAGAGAGCGGGAGGGTGGCTTTGTGGGCTGCCTTGGCTGCAGCTCCGCAGCTCTTCTGACCCTGCCAGGAACCTGTCAGCAGCATTCAGCAGGCTCTTTGAAGTGTGACTTCTTTCATTAGATGAATTAAATGTTAATTTTGACACTTAAAGGGGGAGTCAACCTGCTTAGTTTGAGACATTTCCATGTGAGCAGTCTAAGCTCCATAAGCAGCAGAGGCAAATAGGTGCATTGATAACACAAGTCATCGAACATTGAAATATATGTCTAAGAGGGGTGGTTTGCACCCATGTGGGGTCTTCTCCTCTCTGATCTGATAATTACAAAAGACTTCTAAACAATTAGATTACATTGTTCCTTTTGTGGCGTTTTACCACAAGTGACTATTTCACGACTGATGATTTCAACAGAAAGAGGCAGTCCGTGTTAATTCCCCCAGTCCTGAAATTCCCAGGGGTGCCACTCAGCTCCCAAAGTCTTCCCTTTTTTTCACAAGCACAGTTACTTAAGCACAGTATTTCCAAACTTCCTCACTGCAGCAAAACACAGGAGTAGCATCACAAGAAAAGACAGCAAGTTAAATAAAGCGCTGAACACAGCTCCTCCGGGTGGAGCTGGCTCCATCGCTTCAGAGGGCTGTAGGTTCTGTGGGAGAGGCACAGCAGGGTGTTTAACCTTCCGCATGTAAGTATAGCTTCTATGAACTGTTCATGGTCTCTTTTATGTTTTTCCTCGCAGATCTGATGTAGCTATCTGATGAATTCTGGGGTTTGCTACCGGAGATAGACTTTTTACAGATCATAGCCGAGTCAGGCTTGTGCTTTCCTGTGTTTTGGTTCTTCCATCCTGGATGCTGGTGCTTTTGCTTCTTCATTGGTACAGAATATGTCTTTCCCTTTGAACGCAGATACAGATTTCTGGTATATTGTAGCCATAGACCTTGCTCTCCATGTGTGCCAGGGATTTATATGCAAAGTTGTTTATATGCCAAATGCTTGCATTTGTCCATTCTGCTGTTACCAGACAAAATGCCATGGCGTAAGTGGTGGCAGTGCGCTGGTGTATCCGGAGGTATAGGTGCAGACTGCAATGTTAACATATTTCAGCCACTGTAGTTTGATATTACATCTGTCAACTAATGCACTCAACTAATACTGTTGAAACGAGCAATTGCAAACATTTGCGATTAGGTTAATTCAGTGGAAAAAATGCACTTTCAACATACTTGTTAGAACAGAACTAAACGTATCTTTCAGCTCATGAGGGAGCTCTGCGCCCAGCTCTTCCCTGACTCCAGCTCATCCATATTACTGTGGCAACATGGCTCTCCTGCTCTGCTCTCAGCCTTCTGGCACAGCGCTGATTTCTGTGCTTCTTCCCCTCCACCTCTGCTTACCCCGGCGACTTTAGGCCACTGAGCCCTGTGGCACTCACCATTCCCCAGTCTTCCTGCACGTGTTGACAGCCACAAAAAAAACCCAGGCTGAGTTCCCCCATGCCCCGGCTTCTGAGCAACGGGATTTTTCACACGCCGATGCTCCTTGTCTTACTCAGGAAAGGCAGCAGAGACTGGAATTTGACAGAACTGGATGTAAAAGGAATTCACCGTGCTTTGCTTTCAGGCTTAAAAAGAACAAAGATATGCTTAAAGCAGCCTGCAGCAGGCACGAGCTGGCAAACCCCAGTCAGTGTGTAGCCTCTCAAATCTGTGTGCAGGTTCACTGAGATATCCCCACACACACCGCAGGCGCTTCGCTTTAGTGCACGAGCTGTCCCTCTGCCATCTCAGGCCTTCTCGTGGCAGCAAAGTGAAACAAGTGGAAAAATGCCCGACCCCAGCCTGGGAAGCAGTGACATGCCCTAGCGCTTTCCCGAACCGCAGCCCGAGCCCTTCAGGTTCGCTGTGATGTGCACACGTGGGCTGAGGTGACAAGGACCGGGCCCTGAGGTGCCGCCCCGCTACGGTACAAACTGAAGTGTGCACGTGTGCTGCTTCCCTGCATACTCTGTGTAATTCTTCTGAACTGATTTCTCCCAAACAGAGCCTTACACCTGTGGAGCTTGTGGAATCCAGTTCCAGTTTTATAACAATCTCCTGGAGCACATGCAGTCCCATGCAGGTAAGCTGGGCACTTCGACTCGCTTAAAGCGGAGAATTAAATTCTGCGCTGATGCCTGATGTTGACCCCGTTGTGTGTCAATAGACCTTCTGTGCTCACGGTTTCCAAAGCCCCAGTAATTTCACCTGCAGCAAAACGGATGCTCAAAGGCTGGAGCACATAGTGGCTGTGACAATGCAAGGCTCAGGGTATATCGTAAATGCACTCCTTTCCCTAGGAAGAGAGGAAACTTGCCATGCTAGCACAGAGCGCGTCAAACTGCTCATTCCCTTTACCCAAAAGGATTTAGGGAATGCTCGTTGCATCAGCATTAATGGGTCACTCCTCCAGCAGATGAAATCCCTCCTGCAAAAAGGGTAGTTCTCATTGCAGCAAACAAAGCAAAAACGCTTGCAGGGCAGCAGAGCCTTCGCCCACACAAGTCTTTTTCTGTGCTTGTGGCTCCTGGAGTTCTGCAGAGGACTGAAATGTGTTCTCAGGAGAAGAATTTGCTATTTCAGCAGTTGTGTTCATTTCCTTCTCAGCCCTCTTCAAAAGACAATTCTGAGGAGTAGCTCCACTACTTCGTTTCAAAGCCACCTTTTTTGTTTTCTGTCTCAATACATCAGAGACGATTTTAAGATTTCAAAGCCAAAGCTGGTTCAAAGACAGCATTCACAATAGTCAAAAATACAGAAATGGTATTTTTTGGCATTGGCAGATTTTTTTCCTTTTTACCTCTTGAATGAAAACTCAAGTGAATTAACACAGGTTTACCAGTTAATTCGCCTTTGACAGATCTGTGTTCTGCGACAGACAGCTGCTCTGTTGAGGTGCTCGTTCAGTGCCTGCATTTACCCTTACTTTACAGGTGAGCCCTGAGTAGAGTGGCACGGAAGAACAAGTGGCTTGAGGAAAAGCATATTTTTTATTCTGTAACTAATTCTAATCAAAGTTCTTACCTTTTTCTGTGTTTTAGTTTTAGTCCTAATTTTAATGAGCATCCCTTGCGTTCTGCGTGGTTCCTCTGCTTCAGTTCAGTTCTCCTTGGCAAATCTTAGTGCAGGCTTTGTGTCTTGTTCAGCAGCTACTTTATTTGCCGTCTTTGCAATGTTATGAAGAGACGTTTAGGGTGATTTGTTGCGAGATGGTATGAATGTTGTGGATGTTATTTTCTGTTAGAGCATAACCTGATTAATGTGGAGTAGTTGGACTTCAGGTTACGCAGAGGAGTGGTGAAGCTCCGCTCAGGGTAGTGCCATCACTCCGTGGTGGTGGCGTCTGTTCTTGCTGTTTGTCGACGGCGGTTTCTGCTTGCCTCCAAGCTGCGTCCTGACCATCCTCTTCATTCTTCTGGTCTCCAGTACTGAAGTGCAGCATTTTGAGTTACAGCTCTTGGTGACACTGAGGAGCAGCAAAGGAGGGACCGAGGCAAAGGTGTCAAAGGGGAGAATGGCAATTCACTGGCAAGGCGTGAGCCGTTGGAAATTTTAATCTAGTGCTGTCTGCAGCTTCTTCCTTCTCTCTTCTTTACAAATGACCCATGGCCTCTGGGCTTGTCCACCTGGGTTAGTTTGGACGCAGAACAGGGCTGGAGGGAGCAGGTATCTGTGATCCGAGTCATGTAAAATCAGCAGAGGTATATTAATGCGTAAATCCCCTCTCCCCAGTTCAGGATGACTCCTGTTAAACTCTGTATTTTCTCATCTCTCCCTGCTCTGTTTGTAAGTCACGGTCTTCTGCTTGGCTGCTTCCTCCTGAATGTCTCGCCGGTGCAGTGACAGCAAGCTTCTCCGTGTCTTCTTTAAGTGCTTTCTCCAGGTGTCACAGAGACTGCCCCTGTGAAAGTCGCCATCCCCTGTCCCCTGCTGTGGCGTCTCTGTGCCTGGTGCTTGCCAGTCCTGTGCTCACGTCTCTTCCTCTGGAGGGAACGGCAGCCTTTCCTCCAGATCTACGCAGCTGGGGGCCAGCGGCGCGGTATTTGGTGCTGTGGGATGAGGGCAAAACAAAGTGAAGAGGTGTGAAAGCTGCAGATGGTTTGGGTGGATGACAGTGCTGGATATTCAGCAGAGCAACAGTGGAGATTGCACAGGGCTTGTGGTTACTCCGGTCGCAGTTTGTTGCCTTTTAGCCTGTCAGAGCTTGGGAATTTCCATATCCAAGAAACATCATCAGCACAACATCTCTGAATTCTGGGAGTACAGAGCCCTTGCAGTAGTCAGCAGAACTGGTGGCATAGGATCCACATACTGGGGACACTGGCGTTGTAGCGGTTTATACCAGTTCATGTGCCTGGCTCAAGGGATGTTTCATTGTGGGGATGCAGGCATACAGGAAGCCCATACAGGTTAAATGCTCCCTCAGTTAATGCGTTCAGGATTCCAGTTTGGCTTATCGTGTCTGATGCAAAGGGCTGATCTCTTCCAACTAAATGTGACGCATCCACTGAGCCCCTCTCGAAAGTGACTGACGACAGGGAATGTGGCGCTGGCCTCAAGGAGCAAAAGCAGAGACATACTGGCTCTTGAGGCATTGAGGGGGCTAAGCCTGTAGGCTAGAAGGTAGTAAGGAGAGATTATAGCTCCATAAAGCGGCTACACAATGAGAAGAAGCAATTAGAATGTAAATTGGATGCTGAAAGGCGGAAATAGAACAGCAGAACACCAGGCAAAGGAATTTGTTCTGTAATTACACTGTACAATATACAGCTTTGACTCCCTTTAGAGTACTTTGTTCAGGTCGAGTGCTACCATATAATGCCCTTCCTACAATCTAGAGCTAAAAAAATAAAAGGACGACTAGGCTGAACCTGGATTAAAGGATTGGAGGCATGAAGAGAAATTAAAGAACCATGATCTGTGTAGTTCACAGACTGCCTGATAAGGAAGATGAGGCTGAAATGCACAAATCTCATTAATGCCACATTGAATGCCAGGAGATATTTGTACATAATGAATCCCCTATTATTATAAAATAGATAAAGAGTTGGGGGGAGGAAATATAGAGGGTTTCTCCCCCCAAGACCCCTTACCAGGACAAGGAAGGCCTGAACCATGAACAAAGTTAGTAGGCAACATCCAGCGTTTCCCTTTGCCTACCCGCAGATGTTGGAGTTGAGGTCAGTGGTGGCATTAGCTCAAGAGCAGTTACTCCAGGCAAATGCTGGGGGAAAAGAGATGTGTCATATCTGATCGCTGGCATTCACTGGAGCACCTCCTGCTCTTCATGCCTCCTCCACACCTGCAAAGACTGACCTCTGGCTGCAGTCCTGAGCATGGCAGTGCTCCCCAGGAACCAGCCACAACCAGCGAATTCCCTGGGCACATACAGCCCTCCAGGCAGTCCCCAAGTCTGCCCTGGTTCTGTCATATCCTGGGTGGCTCTTAGGTGTGGATCCGGTCTGTGGCCAGTGCAGTGCCAAGATCTCATAATAACTGTGCAGTCTGTGACTGTTCATCAGCAAGGTTTGTGAATGCCTCAGCCATTAACATGCAGAGCTGCACAAATTCGAGAGGACTTACTAGTAAGGAAGAGAGTGCTGGAGTTTCATCACATCATTGCTTGTCTCTTCCTTGCTGGTCTCCCTTCTCTCCCAGGTCATTGCCACACATGAAGGAGAGCAACTTTGCCCTCTCGTTTGTTCCGATGGACAGCCCACTGCTCTGCTCAGCACCAGATCAACCTGGGCTGCGGAGCAAAGCACCTGTGTGTGCCTTAATAAGGCATTCCTCTAATTGGTGCTCTGCTGTCTACAGCACTGGGGCAGGATTCATTTCATTGCGTGCTGGTGTGCATAGGCTATAGATATTGCCACCTGAGCTGGTCAACTTGGACTCTCTTTATAATCAGTGAAGAAGAAGTCATTGGCCCCAGGTGAGTCCAGGGTGTGATGGATCTTACACTACAGAGACATCTAGTTCTGCTTGGGTGAATGAATCGCAATCTTAAGCCTGTTTTGCACCACTGAGTGTAAAAGGAGCCTCAAGGGGCCACTCTGAAGAGCAGTGTGTCTAATAGAGATGTCCAAAATTAGGTGAAATAAGTGCAGCTGTGATGAGTAAAGGACCTGCTTTGTCTTCTTTGTTTTTAATTCCATCCTTCTGTTCAGCCTGGTCATCAGTCTCTCTCCATCGTTCTCCTTCCTCTTCCACCTCTCTTCATTGTGCACTTCGTTATTGCTTCACAGCCTGTTTCAGAGCACAGTTTCATACTGAAGTGTGCTAAGAACCAGAAAATCCCCTCAAGAGGGTGGGGAGAAATTCTTGGGACACAGGACAGGAAAGAACGTGGATACAATACAGAATTTACTGATCTTGACTGCATTTCCTTGGAAGATCCCATTGGATTGGCAGCTGAAGTATTCAGCCCAGTTACATATACAGAAATGGGAGCATGAACGCAAAGACCCCCGGGCAGTTGGTATCTGCAGCGATAGGAAGGAACGGTCTTTGGTCACACTCCAGAAACATGAGGTTTTTTATTTTTGCACCCAGTCTGAGGCAGCAGTGAGCAGCCCAAGAGGAGATTGGCCCTCTCTCTACAGTGGGGGGAAACCATATATGAATATTGTAATAAGATCCTTAGATACAAAGGAGTTGAGCATAGCTTGAAAGCCAAAGTACTTAACAGTAAAGAAAAGGGAAGGCACCTGCAGTGCAGAAAGAGGCAGTGAGGCAAAAGAAGGATAAGTGTTTGTTACACCTCCTTTCATTTTGAAAGCAAGCAAATTCCACGAGTCAGGCTGCACAAGGAACTTCAATTCCTCCTGGTGTGCAGCTTCACTTGATTGGGCAACATTTCTCAAGGTGTGCTGATGGCATCAGCATCACTGATGCACAGAAAAAGCCACTGTCATTTCAGTCACATTTTGGGAGGTGATAAGTTGTAAGTCCAAAGCCAGTTTTCAAGGTTTCTGACGGTAATGTGCCATCTCACTGAAAACTGCTTGAAAGCTACAGACAATGTAGTAGATTGGTGTCACCTTAGTTAAAAGAACTATAAGTAAATGCTAAGCAGATGGGTACTGTTTCCCCTTCTTTGTGCTTTAAGCATTATTATCTTGTGATTCTAACAGCTCCCTGTCTCTCGCCCCACAGCTGACAACGAGAACAATATTGCCTCTAGCCAGCCCAGATCACCTCTAGCTGTTGTTGAAGAAAAGTGGAAACCACAGCTCCAAAGAAATAACGCCAACAATAGTACGTAGCAGTGTTTGCTCTTCTGTCCCGGGCTTACCTGTCTGCTTTGAACGAGTGACTATCAGAGAGGGTGCAGCAGTGATGGGCATTGCACCAAGGCCCTTGTCCTCGCCTGACTGCTCTTGATTTCGTCCGTAATTCATGTACTACCCAGAGCAGAGCACCCGTTCCCATTACAGGAGCGCTCGTATGCAAGGAGTACTGGGAACCCTGGGGAAACAGTAGGAAAGGTTTGTAAGGAAGATGCATTTGGGAACTCCTGGAAAAAATTAACTTCTGATCCAACATCAGACTTTCCAGCCTGGGGTTGAAAAGTTAATCTAACTGTCATGGTGTGACATAGGCATAACCTGTCACACCCTGCGCTGGCAGGCAGCCAGCATCTGGCTCTATCTCCAGCTTATCCTGTGAGCTTGTGCTTCACCATGGGAAAAGGTAAAACACAGCCCTGTGGGAAATCAGTTCTGAAGCACTTGCGCTGAGCAGCCTGGGGGAAGGGTGATACAAAAGCATGGTGCTTTTGTGTTCTGGTATGGCTAAAAATGACATTCACATTGCCCAAAATCAGCCACAAAAATTGGGGCTGCTGGAGTTCAGTGGAAGAAATGGAAACTTGGGCTTCAACACTGTTTGCGATGGTGGAGGAAGTTGTGTGCTTCACTGAAGCAACTCCTCTTAAAATAACTGTCTCAAAGAAAAGGCTCAAATCACAAAAATGGAAAGATGTCCAGCTTTCCAGGTGGGCTAAGTTGTGACCACCAGCACTTAGATATGGATAGCAAACAGCACACGTGATTATGACTTATCTAGGCAGTTCCTCAGTGAACACCGTGGAGGTGCCATTGGTTAAGGGAGTGAACTGTGAGTAGATAGTGTGTGCTCTGCCTCAGTCCCCACACCAGGGAAAGCATGCAGATAAGCTCCTTGCTGCCCTAAGCAAGAGCAAGGCCTGTCCCTGGAGGTTCCTCTGTCCAGAAACCCTTGGGGGAAGAAATCTGGGGTTGGAGATGTCTCTGCCATCATCTGGGCGTGTTCCACCTCTTTGGGTCTCTCTCAGAATTGTTTTGTGACTTCCTTCCCTCTCCCGTTGCAGAGGAGCAGTTCTCATCTGGTGCTTTCTCTCCCTCCTTGTATTTCACTGCAGCATCCGCGAGCGGTTCGGTAGGGAACAGCGCGATCCCAGAGAAGGAGCGGCAGAACATTGCCGAGAGGCTCCTGAGGGTGATGTGCACTGACCTTGGGGCTCTGAGCGTGGTGAGTGGGAAGGAATTCATCAAGCTAGCACAGACCCTGGTGGATAGTGGAGCTCGCTATGGTGCCTTCTCTGTCACCGAAATCCTTGGCAATTTCAACACGCTGGCTCTGAAGCATTTGCCTCGGATGTACAACCAAGTGAAGGTGAAAGTCACCTGCGCCCTGGGCAGCAACGCATGCCTCGGCATCGGTGTCACTTGCCACTCCCAGAGCATCGGCCCCGATTCTTGCTACATCCTGACAGCTTATCAGGTAGAAGGCAACCACATCAAGAGTTACGTCCTGGGAATTAAGGGCGTAGACATTCGAGATAATGGTGATTTTATCCACCACTGGGTACAGAACGTGCTCTCGGAGTTTGTGATGTCAGAGATCAGGACGGTGTATGTCACAGACTGCAAAGTCAATTCCTCTGCGTTCTCCAAGGCAGGCATGTGCTTGCGTTGTTCGGCCTGTGCCTTGAACTCAGTAGTGCAGAGTGTGCTGAATAAGCGAACACTACAGGCTCGCAATATGCACGAAGTGATCGAGCTCCTGAATGTCTGTGAAGATCTGGCAGGGTCCACGGGCCTCTCGAAGGAGACCTTTGGCTCCCTGGAAGAGACCTCTCCCCCACCCTGCTGGAACTCGGTCACCGACTCCCTCCTGCTCGTCCACGAGCGCTACGAGCAGATCTGCGAGTTCTACAGCAGGGCCAAGAAGATGAACCTCATCCAAAACCTGAACAAACACCTGCTCAGCAACCTGGCAGCCATTTTGGCTCCGGTGAAACAGGCAGTGATTGAGTTGAGCAATGAGAGCCGGCCCACCTTGCAGCTGGTACTGCCCACCTATGTCAAACTGGAGAAACTGTTCACTTCCAAAGCTAACGATGCTGGCGTGGTCAGCAAACTCTGCCACCTCTTCTTGGAGGCGCTGAAGGAGAACTTCAAAGTTCATTCGGCACACAAGGTAGCCATGATCTTAGATCCTCAGCAGAAGCTGCGGCCCGTCCCACCGTACCAGCACGAAGAGATCATTGGCAAGGTCTGTGAGTTGATCAATGAGGTGAAAGAGTCCTGGGCAGAAGAAACAGAATTTGAACCTTCAACCAAGAAGCCTCGGGCAGCAGGGGAGGCCACAGCAGCTCAGGAAGAAGATTGGTTCGGGAAAAATGAAGTCTATGATTATTTGCAAGAACCTCTCTTCCAGGCCACCCCTGACCTGTTTCAGTACTGGTCGTGTGTTACCCAAAAGCATACAAAACTAGCCAAGCTAGCCTTTTGGCTCTTAGCAGTGCCTGCTGTTGGTGCCAGAAGCGAATGTGTAAATATGTGTGAGCAGGCTCTCTTAATCAAAAGGAGACGGCTACTCAGTCCAGAAGACATGAACAAACTCATGTTTTTGAAGTCCAACATGCTTTAAGACTGTCTTTTAATTAAAACAAAACTTTAAAACACTGTTCCAAACAAAGAAAAAGAATTTTAAGTTCTAAACACTGTGGACCTCATTATGAATGCCCCTGGAAACCAAGTGCTTTTTTATATATATATAAAAATATAAATATATATAAAATTAAGTTTGAAAGGAAAGCTGAGCACGTGAGAGAGACAGCCCTCTGCCAGGAACGTGCTCCTTTCCATAGATAGTGTGTGGACTTGACAGACTTTCTAATGTTTTCAAGTGGGCAGACCAATGGGAGGCTGATGTTCTAAAGTCTTCAGGCAGCTGAGATCTAAAGTGACTTGAAGTTTCTTTTGTTTCTCCTCCACCCCACCTTTCCTCTTGTCCCCCGGGCCGTCTTGCCATGGATAATCAGACTACATTGAACAGACCAGTTCTGCACTGGACTTTGCTCCTTTGAATAACTGTACACCTTGAGGGCATTTGTCTGCAGCCTTCTTGACATACGGTGCATGTTATCAGGGCAGCTGTGTTTTATGAACACCAGTATCTTTAGAAATCAGGAAGGGAGACTTAAAGGGGTTTTTTTAATTTTATTTTTAACTTTTTTTGTACATGGTTTTTGCAGAAAACAAAAGTTACTCATCTATCTCCACTCCCAGTTTTGAGTTTAACATGTTAGCTAGTGATTATAAGCTTGATTTAAAACTAAGAGAAATCGTTCATGGCAGAAAATGTCTGTAATTGTTACGTTTTTTGGAAAAAAAATTTTACAGCATAACTTCTTTTCTGAATTCCCAGTGTTAATTAGCTTCTCTGTGAATTCTGTACATCAGGGGTTCTCAGACTTGTTCTAGAGTAGCCCATTTGCAATTAAATAATGTCCTTATGGGAGCCACAGCAGTTGCTTATATGCTAGAAACTAGGAAAAGCAAGCAAGCGGTGACAACGCAGATGCCTGTGAGCCACCAGCAAGCTTGCCGCGGTCCACCAGCTGCCATTGAGAAACCTTGTACCTCAACTTTTTGTAACCCTTCTCAGTACACACACTCAAAGTAACCTTCACAAGGCCAAGGACAAACCAAGGTGTATGATTTTTCAGGGGAACAAAGATCATCAGTTTTGTCAAACTGGGGTTTGAAGGAAGCTTAGAGAAGTGCATGGGCTCAAAGATCCTTCTGAATGTAAATGCTCCTGATTGAGTGCAAAGAATATCTTCCCATTTTCTTTGGAATGGTTTCCTCTAGTAGCACGAATGTCTTTTTAATACCTACAGTGCATTACACTACTTGTTATGTTGCTGAATCGTTCTGGCTAGGAAGGCCACGGGCCCTTAAACGTTCACACTTACCGACTCACCCCAAATGCAATTAGAGATCATCATAATGCAAAAACATCTCAGTCACTCCGCTGTCCACCGGGGCCGGTGCTCTGCTGTGTCCAGCGCCTGTAGGCACAGTTCATGGATGGGATCTCTGCAGGCTGTCAGGTTTGGTGCCTCTTGGACAATTCCCAACTTCTGGTGCCAAACTGTTAATTTTTTATCACTGGGACTTGTATCCCGGAGGCAAATTGAAGCAAATTCCATACTTTTGAAATAGTCTCTCCTGCTACTGTTAGTGTGCTCTGGAGCTGTGGTCGCAGCGGTGGCAGAGCAGCATCGGAGGTTCGGGAGGATGGCCTCTCAGCTCCGGGCGGGCAGGCTGGAGGCTGAAGCCCTTCAGCGGTGCAGGGATGTTTTCTGGTTGCTGACAATGCAGTGGTGAGACGGGGGCCTTCTTTGAAGTCCTGCTGTTGAACAGATGTTAAACCAAGATCCCACCTGCCCCTCTCTGGTTGTAATAGAAGTTGCAAGTCCCAAGACATGAGAAATGGCAAACTCGATCTCTCAGGCTTTGTGCACAGATGCCTTGACCCTGACAGGCACTAACTGAGAGCTTCACTGCCGTGGGGCTCAGACGGGAACAGTTTGCATGGCAGAGACCTTCCCTAGGTCAAGGTCGCCAAGGATAGCTCTTTGCAGCCAGCTGTCCTGCCCTGTTCAACCTGGAAACAGGACCTACTGTGAGCCTGAGTCTAGCGTTTGGGGTGACCTCTCGGCACTGTTACTGGCATCAGGGCAAAGCTAGTCATCTCCCAAGTGTAAGTTTTGCATATGGATATCTTAAAAGACACTGTGCAACCCACTGACAACTGCCGGGGTAGCAGCGCTTGAAGATGAGCTGCCAAGGCAGAGGCGCTTGGAGATCTGAGTTCTCCAGCAGTGCCTTTTGCAAATGGAGGTGTTGGTTGTGGGGTCAACTTTTCTTCATGCTGGTTTTATTTTCTCCCATACAAGTCCTGCCTGCCCAGCTTTTGCCCACGGTAACACATCCGTTTGCTCTTGCACTGCGGGAGAAACCTGTAACAAACAATAACGAAGTCTCAGACTACAAAGAAAAAACCCAAGTGAGATGTGTGCCGGTTTCATAAGCGTTTGTGCTGTGTTGCAGTTCCCACTAAAAAGCACAAGGTATCCCGCAGCAGGAAAGCACAGCTGGAGGGTGAATCCACAGCAACATTAGATATTGAAGCTGCGGAGCTTGTGCTTGCAGCTCAGCTGTTGTGCAGAACTGGAGACAGGATTTGTAGTTCTTTCTCCTCATGGCACATTAGATCTTTTTTCTTGGTTCACCTGAGACTCCGAGAGCCACTCAAAGGCTCTTCGACACTCGGGCAAACGCGCAAACCCCTTGTGTTCCTTTGAAAAGAAAGCTCCAAATCCCAACCCTCCTTTGCTAAGGGACAGGCTGATAACTTCTGTGGGATTTGCCGACTCGGGCTCATTGTGTTGTCTGTCTGCAAGACATGAAGGGTGGGGAAGTGGGCAAAGCAGAGTTAGCACAGGTTTAAAGCCCTGCAATTGAGAATGAGGTAAAATTGCAGTCATTTGGGCAATCATTTGGTGCCAGGCAGCGTGCGGCAGTGAGCTGGACCGTGGCTGCACAGCCGGGACGTGCAAACGGAGAGGCCGCAGCCACCCTTAACTCCCAGCCCGTCTCCCGTTGCCTTTTCGCAGTGTGGTTTTGACGTCAGATCTGGAGCTTTCTTGCTGTGACGACCAAAGAGAGGGATTGATCGACCCTCTCCCCCATCCAAGTTACTGTCAATGCCAAGGCAACTTAGCTCACAGTTGCGCTAGTGTGGATGTTAAGCAAACGTGCAGCGTTGTCTGGTAGATGAGATTCTCCCAAAGACTTAAAAACTCAACTTAGTAGCTGAAAAAAGCAAAATAAAACCTAAAGTCCTAAAACAGAGCAACCTGGAGAGTTGGTGAGAAGAGGAGCTGGTTGGCCAGGCCCCTTCTCCAGCAACTCGGTGGAAGAAGGTGCAGCTTTTCATGAGACTTAAATGTAATCACAAGGTGTTCTGCTCAGAGGGGCTGTTCGTGCTGTGTCTGCTCACAGGCTGACTTCTGTCTGAGGTATTTACGCTTCATTAAAAGGAGAGAAGCGCATCTGGAGCACGCGTATTTACCCTAAATGCCACACTTTTGCTCCTATTTCTCCTTCCCCTTTAAGGCTTGGATTTGCATTCTAGGGAGCATAGATACCTTACCAAGGTCTGAATTTTGGAATCTCTTAATTGCCAGGTTACTCCAACCGAAACTATTCTGTGATTCTGCTCTATGCCTGGCTCAGTGGTATGGAGCAGCACGTGTGCTATAAGGAGCACTGTCCATCCTGTGGTGGGAGACCAGAGAGGAGGGGGTTTCTTAGTTTGGCCAGAGCTGTCATGAGGTTCTGCTCTCTTTGAGCCAGGAGGAGAAGTCCTCAGAATTGGGATCATCCTCTGGTAGGTCATGTTGGGAGTTTGCCTTCTGCTTGTTTGTTTCCTTTACTTGCACTCAAGAAATGGGTTGGGCTACAAAAACAGTGTATGTGTCCTCCAGGCATTCATTTGTTTCTGCTGTTCAGTCTCTGCATGACCTTGCAGACTTCTCTTTCTGCCTTCACAGTTTGCTATGGGACGGGTTACGATCTTCAGGTGGGGAGCAAGCACCAACAGGACATGAACTGTAAAGAATGAAGGGCCTTCCAGTCCTGTCTGAAGAACCTTGTTGCTAGAAAACTGAGAAAGTAGGATACAAAGGCAGAGCTCTTCAAAGCAGAAGACTGTTTCTGTGTGAGTACAGCAGCCAGAGGGTCAGTGGAGAACATGGGCCCCAAATCCGTCTGCTGTGTCTGTCTCTTCTCCCCATGTCTCCAGCAGTGGACTGTGGTTGTGTTCTGGCTGCAAGACAGGCTCAGTGTCTTGTGCCTGCGTCGGTGTCAGACGGAAGTAAGCTTTTCTTTTTGTCCAAGCTGTGTGTCTGTTCTGAGAAAACTTGATTTGGTTGTGTTCGAACTAGTGCAATCTGGAAAACTTTCTGTGAAAGCCGACTGTGGGCTCAGGTTTTGTCTAATTCAGTTGTCTGTTAGTTGCTGATTAAACCAGTTTAACTTCGAGATAAATTGGTTTAAGCATCCACATGAACCACCTGCACTGGTTTCACTGCGCTTGCTGGGTGTTCTCCCCTGCTGATCAGAGAAGACATCCAGAAGCAGCTCAGGGAGTCATGACCCTTATGTGAATTTTGCAAATGAAGCTGTGGCAGATAGTCTCAAAGCTCGGGAATGACTGAAAATGGAGGGGAGACACTTCGGAAAATAGCTCTGAAAATTGCTTGAGCTCTAAATTGTCGTATCTGAGTGAACACAGTATTCAGCGAGGTGTCTCAGGTGGGTTGGTTTGGTTTTCTCCAGCTGCTTGCAATAACGTGGGAGGTTTAGCGTGAGAAGAAATTGTCACATGTTCATATCGGTGGATGAGTCCACTCAGCCTCACCCAGTCTGAGGGACCGTTTCCACCTTCTGGATCCTGCAGTAGGCAAGCCAGGATGTAGGGTTGCAGAGGAACCGGGTGACTGAGACATTGTGCTACTCGGAGAATGCTGCAGGCATTTCTAGACAGCACCAAGTTACTGATAAATCAAAAGACGGTAAAAGAGCAGCCAAAAAGTGATTCAAAGGCTGGGAGTGCTGCTTTGTCCTGAGGAAAGGCTCAGATCTCTAATTGCATCTCTCTGGCTAAAGGAGGTGGAGAGGAGCTCCGTGTGCGAGCACACGCAGGAGGAGACAAGTTGTTCCCTATGGAATAATTAGGAGTAACAGAATGAAAATCAACAAAAAGACACTAAAGGCAGATTCTGGGAAACCTTTTCAGGGAGGAGAAATCTGTCCATCTGGGAGCAGTCTGGTATGAGAATGTTTTTTGAGCCCTGTCATTCAGAAGAAGGCCGTACAGCTGTGTGGAGCACACTCTGAAAGGCACAGAGCTGCTTTGGAGCTTGCTGAGAGAAAAGCGCCAGGCTGCAGGGTGGGGAGCGACTGCCTGCGCGTTGAGTCCTGTCCTGCCCGATAGGTCCAGGAGGGTTCACAGAGCATTTTCCTCCACATCCTCCCACTCACCACTGCACCAAACCCTTCCCAGCACTCCAGTATATGTGTTAACCCGGGTTCCTAAAGGAGGGA